GGAAAACTCTCTGCTAGGGCCCTTCAGCGTATGTGATCTTATCTGGGATGTCTTTTCAAGTCTTGACTAGAGGAGAAATTTGTACCCCTGGGTTGTGGAGAGCTTTTTGGACTGCAAGACATAGTGGTTCAATAGCCCCACAGAGGTTTAGATTAATGGGATACCCTGGCAAACAGGAAACCTACATCTCCCATAGTTTAGACCACAGTCATTAGCCCAAAATAAGAGCATGTAAGATTTGGAAGACAAAGGATAGATATTTTAGTTACACAGCCGAGATTGTAGGCTAATTCCCAACTTCTAATTGAAAAGCATTGAGAAAGGAGCTGTGAACATTTCCTTATAAAACCTATCAAAATGGTGCTATTGATTCCTTCATATAGAGATATTATAATATTTTTTAGGTATATAAAGTCTGGCCAGGTCATAAATGTAAATACAGAAAATATTTGTTGAGAATTCATCAAAATCACACTCATTTTTATAGAGATGGAGTCTCACTATGTTGCCCAGTCTGGTCTCGAACTCCAGCCTCACTCTCCCAAAATGCTCGGGTGACAGGCTTGGATTGTAGGTCAAAGGTGGTGACTAAAGAGTGAATTCCCATATTCTACAGGTGGGATGCAACTCACTGTGGTGTCTTGGATTCTAGTTGGACAACCCAATTACATGATTAAGCATGTTCACTTTTTTTGTCTTGGTGTTTCCCAGGAACCTGAAGAATTCGTGACTTTAGCAAAACTGGATGTTGGTAGATTAATTGTAGACATTGATCTTAGTGAGGGCTGATGTTGCTTTGTGTAAATTCACTCAGACATGTCAGAACACGCCAAAAGGAGCCTATACCTTGCTGCTGGGAAATCTGTAAAGCAATTTGCATGTACAATATGCTAATAAATCTTCTAAGAACCCACCAAAACTTTGCAGTTGTGATTTGAAATGTTATAATTCAAGAGAGACACAATGGAAATTTTTTAATATCTGAAATTGTTCCCTGACTCATTCCTTGAGTTTTCCCTATTTTCTCAGATAAAATTGTGCTTTGAGTTTCATAGCATTTAACACTGAGCTCAAATATTTTCTATTGAGTAAAATTATAAAATCACTAACGTTAAAAGGGGACATTAGTGGTCCCTGAATTTTATAAGTTCACTTTATTGAAGAGAGTTATTCCATCCAGAGAGGTAGTAGTTCACCTAAGGTCACAGTAGCTGGGAAAGGAATTGACCAGGCTGCCCACCTTCTAATCCCGTGCTCTCACCACCATCCACACTGCTGTAACACAACACCATAAACTGGATGGTTTATCATCAACAATAGTATCTGAAATTTCTACAAGTCCAAGATCAAGGCACCTGCTGATTTCACATCTGATGAGGACTTGCCTCCTCACAGAGGATCCCTGGGCTCTGTGTCCTGACGTGGGCCCTTTTATAAGAGCCACTAATCTCATTTACTAGGGTGAATTAATCATTTTCCAAAGGCCCCACTTCCTAAGACCATCACCTTGGGAGTTAGGATTTCAACATAATACATTTTAAAAGAACACAAACATTTAGCCCATAGCTCCAGATTTTTTTAATAAAATGAGGAAAGTAACTCCTCATTTGCTGAAGGCACTTCAGAGTCACAGTTCCTCTTACCGCCCACAGCAGCCCAGCTGCTTTCTTGCAACTGGTCATGAGTGACCTTATAAACAACGTCAGGACTTTTCCACTTTCAAAGGAAACTATCGTAATTCCTAATCAGTTTAATGTAAGTATTTGAATATGTATGCAATAAATCCTGTCCACATGCTCCATGAGAAAGAACACACTCATTATTTGTTCTGGACACATCATAGCAAAGATGTGGTAGTACTGTAGCTAACATGATGCAAGAGGCTGCGGGAGATTAACATGTGCATTGTTAACTTTATTTTCTAGAGTTTTTTGGTTGTTAAGAGTTCAGGAAGTTAAATTATATACTTTAAATTCTGACATAAGAAACCAAAAATTTAGTCAGTAACTTACACTCAAAGTAACTTACACAGACAGTATCAATGATCAAGTATAAGAGTATCTAGAAATTTTTATTGATATATATTTCATAGTGATTTAAAAATGAATACATATTTTATTTATACTAATACTCAATAGTTTAATAAATAGTTTTACATATTGGTTCAAAAAAATTATAAACTTCTTGAAAAATAAAACCTCTATAAAGCATAGTATTTACTGAATTGCAAGAGATGAATTTTAATATTTGTGCATGTAAAAATCTTTAGAAACAATATAACAATGAAAACAATTATAATTCCAACTTCCTGTGCTCTGGAATTAATCCACCGTTTATTCTATACGCATATGCTCAGGCCCCATCACCCCCTCCTCTTAGAAGCCGAGTGAGACAGACGTGGAAGAGACACTGGACGAGAGATCACACCACACAGGTTCTAACGGAAACCTGCACAGTCCCCTAGCTTCTCTGGTTCTGTTAACTTGGGATAGTCACAGTATCCATTTACTTAAAAGAAACTGGATTCTAACTCCTGCTTCTAAGGATATTGGTATGCTCTTGAGTAGAAAGGTAAAGATTTCCTCTACATCAAAGACCTAAAAACTCAATAGATAATTAGGGGCTTAAATTGTGCAATGTTCTATCTTTTTCAGAGGCAATCTCAATTACACAGTTTTTTAGCTTGAGCTGTTAACTGAATTCAACCTGATCATTGGTAAAATGCCTTTCAGTCAGAAAAGAAAGAGGGAGGAAAGAGGGAAAGAAAAACAATTGTATTAACTGGGAGATATTTAACCCATAGAAATCTACAATTTGAAATATATCCAACTTCAATGAACACACAATGCAGATTTTTAACCTTTACAATCTCTCTAATACTCTAGCAATTTATACTATAGATAACCACAGGACACCAGATACTCATTTTTGCTGAGTATTGTTTTAAACTTTAAGAGAATTATCAACACAAATATTTCATGCAAAAGTATTATAGGTAATATTTTTCTTAAAACTAATTTGCTTTAAAAAAAGCTATTACATACTGAAAATAATACAAATATTTCCTAAACACACAGGTTTCCAACAAATAACTACATATAAGTTATAGAAAATAATCCACTACATAACAGGGAAGATTATATTCTTTCATTTTTTTAGCTGCCCTATCAAAAGTTAATTATATTTGAAGGAAACATTTTTTTTAACAGTAATATTTATTTTGTTGAAAACTACTCACCGATTTATTTCTAAAGTTCAGTTGTTCTATTTAGCAAACGTTGAAGGCTGTAGAGACTAGAAAAGATATCTATGGTAGTAATTCCATGAAATTGTTTCATCTTACAGCAAGACAAATACATAATCTACAGAATTGTGCTATTCTATACAGTAGCTACTAATCTCATGTGACTAATGGGCACTTAAAATGTGATAGTCAAAATTAGCAAAATATATACTGGATTTCAAAGAATCAGTATAAAAAGAGAATCTTGGCCCCTTTGATTTTTTTATATTGATTACTTGTTGAAATAACATTTTTTAGGTATATTGAGTTAAAATAAAATGTTATATTAAATATATTATACAAATTAACCATAGCTGTTTATTTTTTTAATGTGGCTACTAGAAAATTTTAAATTATATACACAGCTTACATTATTTTTCTACTTGTATAGCACTGCTAAGGATCAGCAGATTCAATATCTGTTAATATCCATCCCAACCCAAACTGTTAAATTTTGTATCATTATTACATCTAAGATAACAAATTTAATACATTATTATAAGACTCCTGAGCTTAGAATTATATACACCTCTATTCTGGAAAATAAACCAAATAAAACCTACTGTAATTGTTTTCATCGTCTTTATACTGGCAATTGCAATAAACTTTGGTTAGATGATACCACAAACAGACAAAAGGGATCTTTTGGTAAATGTTCTAAAACTGGATTATGGTGATGGCTCCACCAACTCTATAAATGTATTTTAAAAATGACTTAAAATGGGTAAATTGTATATTATATCGATTACACAATAAAGCTGTTTTTTTAAAAAACATTCGTAGCTGGAGCCCAGTAGATCTAAAGAGCCAATGAGAAACTGTACATAAATTTCAGGTGATTCAAGTGTAATTTTTTAACTCATCATATGATTCAATTTTGCAATTAAAGTTTTCCCACGAGGGTCATTTTACCTGTGGTGGGTGCACATTTAGCAGTGAATGATACTGTCACTTAACTGGAGGAGGACGTCAGCAGGGGAAAGAGAACACCGGAGCGGCAAAAGCGGGTGGCGTGTGGCCTGTGGGTGCCCAGCGCAGGGAGCAACAGCCCTCACAGGAATGCTGTAGTCCTGCCACGAGGCCCCTACTCAAGGTGAGCACCCTTAGAATTTCACTTCTCTGCACAGCATAATGGAGTATGGGACCTCCTACTCTACACTAATAAAAACAAATGAACGGAAATAAATGAAGTCAAAACTAACATTTAACAATTTCCACAGAAAACTAGAAACTAAACTGCTGAGGTTTTTTTCCCCTACTGCAAAAGAAAAAAAGTAGAAAAAGAGAAATCCGGTAATTCAAAAGTTACAGTCACTTTAGAAAAGGGTATTGGCAATTAATAAACTTCAATTAATAATACAAAGTCCTTTGTGCATTTCTTCTGTCAGATCTTGAGACAAATTATTTTTTGAGACAGAGTATGAGATTATTCATTATAAACATTATGAGGCACTGCCAGCAGCAAAAACAGAAAAACAAAACCCACTTTCTCACTCTGTCAAAATGAGCATGAAGATCCATGACTTACTCTTTACACTCAAGAAAACACAATAAAGTAGATAAAACACAGATTCAACTTTCACGCACTGAACCACTACATACTTGTGTGCGTTTCATGGCCTGCCTAGCACAGAAGTATTTCCAGGACTCACTTTACCCCACATTAACCAAGAAGGAAAACAGTGACATGTGAAGAACCGACACAGAACACGGAGACGGCTTTCAGGATGTGTATGTGTATTTATAAACATACAAAGACGTGCCTGGACACACTGAGTTGCCTCAAGTTCTCATTTCAGAAATAAACTAGCTGATAGTTCAAAAGCCAAAGAATCATTTAGAATGTTAAAATCACTTACAAATGTTCACTTAGGGCAGCCACAGAATCAAGGGACCTACTATAGCCATTCTAGTCATTATAAAATGATAGCTAACAGGCATTTGGATATATGTTAGAATGCATTTGTTCTAGTTTCAGACTGAAGTCACATCACAAACGCAAATATCTATGATGAAGTTTATAATGCTTTGTGAGTTGATACTTATAAAATTGATATGTACAGAACATTCAGTGTGACTTTTTAGAGAGAAGACTCTCTGTTGGTGATTACAGTATACCACCACCCATGTCACACAACCCAGAGTACTGCTCAATAAATGGGTATTCCCAGTGCATATTTGGCAGAATTTTTTACTATCATAGTCATGCATAAACGTTAAGACTCTCAAAATAAATCTACAAATGTGTTTTCAAAAATACAAAAAATACACTAGATATACTACCTAGATATCAAAACTAAATTGTTATTTGAATTGTACCCGTAGTTGCTGATTGACTTTTTTAATTAACTTAATAAAACTGTAGATAATCTATTTTCTCATTTCTAGTCTTTTCAAAACTTACAGGAGTGCAAGTCAATTGACAGTGAAGTTTCTCTGTAGACACTGTAGAGACGGAAGCACTTTTTCTTTTGTTTAAGATATTGCCAAACTCACAGAGGATGACAACAGCAAAATGCTACTATTTAAGTTCAAAAAAATTAAACTTTTATAAAATGTTCATAAGGCTCTAAAATAGTGATTTTAATCTAACAGCATAAAGCTTGTGATTTTGCTAATCTCCATGCAGCCAAAATATTCATTCTGAGATAACATTTAACTTTTTAAGGGTTTGGGTCAAAGAACTGTGCCGACTTCTTTGTGGATTTCTGTCATAGTCCTCACTGCCATACCAAACAATGTGCAAATTACTGTCCAAGAGAACTGAAATGCCCTCTCTTAGATAGCTATTTACTATAGGAACAAAATAAAACATTGTGCTACTAAACCAAAAACATATCAAATTTTTCTACAGGCTATGCAGGAAAGTAGAATGGATGATTTTTACAGGCTATGCACAGGAGAGAGAGAGTTGATCGAGAGGGTCACAGTACTAACAGTTTGAAGATACTATGTCTTCTGTAAAGCTTTTCGTAAGTCGCCGTAGAAGTTGGTTAAAGTGCTTGCCATGGCCGTGTCTACCGCAGACTGAGGAATCATCCCACGCAGGTCCGTCTGAATGTAGCCGGTCAAAAGACTCTGGCTTGGATTGTCTTTGAGAGGAACACAAAACCAGCCACAGGGATGGTTATATCCTCTAACAAATTCTGGTCTCTTTTCACTCCAGTCAAGACTTATCCCTACAAGGCAATTAAAAAATAATGTTGTTAATACCAATGATTGACATTGGTGTAAAGATCTCATTAAAAAATATTCCCAGAGTTCTTGTTTTAATATTTTTCCTCTTATCCATATAGATGAAAATTAAGCCCCAAGACTGACTATGGCAGAATGAAAAAGATAATTACCAAGCAGTATTCTGACAGAGGGTTGACGGATAGGTAATGGGGAACATTCCAATCCCGTCAGAATGAATGACATCATGTCAACTCGGTGCCAATAACCAAATCTATATATAGTACCGTAACTATTCTCCACAGCTACTGCCACATCCAACTTTGGTACTGGCTAGTTAAGAATAAATCAGTACATGTTTACCTTCAAACTGCCAATTAAGTATATACATTGTCTTAAAAACTGTATTAATTTATCTATAGGTACATTTTAGAAAACAAGAGCCTTCCAATGGCAATAGTTTTACTTGAAAAATACAACACAGCTCAAGAAAAGAAAAATATCCTAAAAAACACCAAGTGTATTTTTACATATATGACCAAAAAGCTGTTTTTTGAGTGGCTTAGAAGAAAATCTACTTACTGGAACCCTTTCTCAGAAGTGGTCACGTGATCTACATTTGCTACCTGTGACCCAGAGGACACTGTGTAACTGGGAACAAAAACCTACCTGAACAATTTCAAAACCCTTTTTGATACTGTTCTTTTATCCTCTAGGGTTTAGCATTTGCAAGGAAAATCATGGTGATTACAAAATCACTATGAGAGTTACAAATACATCTCATATACAAAGAAACACCTAGCCTAGAAAACCTAAATATTTAAACCGAACTAAAGAAAGTATAAGGTTTTGAGATTATTACCACAGGATAAAAGCCCTTCTTGATAGCTCACAGTATAGGAGAAGTCAACAAACTCTCTTGGGGAAATTATATTCCAAAGCTGACCAGCAGTAGTATAACGCATCACACAGCAATTCTGAAAAAGAAAAAGAGGTAAGCTGTGTTGCTACTATAGGAAACACACATAAATTCATGTATCATAAATCGATCTTTGGAAAAAATTGCACCCATTTAAAATGTTTTATAATTATTATAATAATTCTTATAGTGATTCTGACCAGTCTACATATCTATTCTAAATCTCACTGCTATTGAATGGAATAAGGGGATATATAATCAAAATACAGAGGTACAGGTAACCCAGTATCCAAAATTCTCACTAAATACACTGACCTTTTATTCTATATAATATTCCACATGCAATTAGGGGTATATATTGTTTTAGAATGTTTAAGATAATCCACAGTACTTTGACTACAATATCAGATGTTTTAATGAAAATATTCAAACATTAAGAATTTAATTAATAAAAAGAGACTTATTTTGGGTATAGCTTAAGGTGGAGCCTTTATCTTTGGTCTTTGATTTTGACTTAGGATTAATGGAAAAGCTGCAACATTTACCTAGAAATCTAAACATGTCGGCGGTATTTTCAAAATTTTAGATTTCAGAACCTCAACTAAAGTTTTACTATTAAAGATGCTAGAGATTTTCTTAAGCATCAAGGGCAGAGCTGTTATGGAAAGCAAACTCAGTTCTAACAATTATTAGTTAACGGAAGGAAACTCAGGCTTTTTAAGAGGCAGCCCAGGGTTCCCCGTGACATCTTTGCCATGACTACCTTTCTCAAAGCAATGAATACAATGAACATAGGTGCCTACTACAAACAGATGTGCATGTGCACACACTCTGGCTTCCTTATGCACACACGTTCTCTCTCTGCCTCTCCCCTTCTCTCTCTCACACACAGACACACACACACAGAGTCTGAAGGAATGTTTCTAAACCGATACCTCTTCAAAGTGCTCCAAAATATCCAATGAAGTCATTAAGCTGTCCCAATCCAAACGACAAGGCCCTGGGCGTATATGGTCTATGGTGCTACTGAAAACATCATCTATGACACCTTGAGCTTTGTAGCTGAAGAGAAACAGTGAGAGTCAATGCTATTAGAATGAAAACTTTCGGCATGCCCTCATGGCTAAGAGGTAACTTTGAAAGTAGGAGAAAAAATTAATAAATGTTTTCTTAATAATCCCAACAACTTTTCTGATAAAGTAAGTTCTATCCATTATTGTACGAGAATGTATCCTTTGTCCTCAAATCTAGTAAGAGAATTGAAGGCTTCGTGTCATAACGAAGATAACAGAGTCCCTTTGTGTTATGGTGTAGCCAAAAACAGTCTCCAGTTTTGCTATAACGCTTTCCTTTGCTTTGGTGTTATTGCTTCTTCCGTTATCCTCTAACATATAAGCATATGCATATTTCTACCCTGACTTTTAAAAACTTTTTAGGAACAGAAAAACAGGCCAATGGGGGAAAACACCGAGGAACCTACTCATGAACCTACTGGAATGACATATTTCAAAGGCAGCGTTACATGTCAGTTCGAAAGTCATTTACAATTCCATAAATGGTATGTAGCATCAAAGTTAACCTTACAAAGAAAATAAAACCTGGATCCTCGCTTCGCAACATTCAAAACATTTCATTCTAGAGAGATAAATATCTCTGTGTAAGATGTAAAACTTTAACACTTTGAGAAAAATACACAAGATACCATCTTTGTGACCTCAAAGTACAGGGAGGATTTCTCGAATACACAGAACACACAAAAAGATCACAAACTATATAAAAAATCAGTTAAAATTAAAAACATGCATACCACACATGAAAAATGAGTTTTTTAAACCAGCTACAGACGGGGACGAGATATGTCCAACACAGATAAAACAGATATAGATCATTCTAGAGAATATATGAATAATTCCTATAAACTAATGAGAAAACGAAAATCCAAAGAAAGGATGGGCAAAGGACACAGTAAGATTGACCTGAAATGTCAATAAATGTACAAAAGATTCTCCCCCTCACTAGGAGTCAAGTAAATGCTAACAAAGATACAAACTCATCCATATCCCTCAGACTGGCAAAGACTAAAAACTTCCTAACAAGTCTTGAATGCTTGAGTGGAGGGGGATAAGAACTCAAACTGCTACTTAGAGGGCAGGTTGGTAATGCCTAGTAACCATGAACAATGTACATCTCTAAGACCCAAAGAAAATCACAGGTGTATATAGGGAGGGATGTGGCAAGAGATTTATTACAGCACTGTACTCTATAGAGAAGAATTGACAACACCCTGAAAACCTACCAGCAGACACATCTTTACACATAAACACTGTGGTGTATTTGTATGAAAGTTAAAGAATTGATTTACATGGAACAATATAGCTAAATATTTACTGAAAAATATTAGAAGAAAATTAAAAATCGAAACGCACACAACATACACACATGAATATAAAAACATACCAGTTTTTTTTATTGTTTATAAATATATATATATAGTCAAGGTATGAAGCAGGAATGATAGTTACAACCTCAGGACAGCAGTCACCTCTGGGGAAGAAAGAAAGTCTGGAAAGTCGTGCATGTGTAATAGCAGACGGGCTTCAGCTCTCACCAGTATCTTGGCCTTTTTTTTTTTTTTAGCATCTGAAGCTGTTTAATCACCAATAAATATCTCAAGCCAAACTTACATATTATTTCCCCCATCCTAAATCTGTTCTTCCCTCCTTCCTGTGTTCTCTAACTCAAGGTAACTCAAGTGGAGGTAATACAAATTAATCCTGTCACACCAATCAGAAATTTGGGGATTCAATTATGACTCCTTTTTCTTTTAACCTCATTCCAAATAATCAGACATCATGTTTTATCAAAATGATTTCCTAAGCGCTGAGAGCAGTATCAGGTTGTCAGAAGTGCTAGTTGTCACTGCCTAGCTAACTCATTAATCTTTGAGTTCACTGGCCCTTTCAGCTCCTGTTCAGCTCCTGTTTGGGTGCTCAGTGTCTCCCGCAGCACTTCATCAGTTCCTATCTCTTTTGATCACGTATCTCTTTAAAAATCTAAGAAAAGCCACAGACATTTCTTATCTGTGTTTATGCCAGGGACGCAATTCCCTCTGCCTCAAATACAAAGCCCTTCATGCCACAAGAGACACCTATTCCTCCACTATGACCCAAGAACAGTGGTCCCTTGGCACGATTTTATACTTTTCTAGCCCCACTGGAAATAGCTGATCTAAAGAATTAACTTTCGCATTTGCTTACAAGGTTTAATCCAAGTCCAGTTTCCCTTTCTTTGTCAGAAATATTGCACAACTCATCTTTCTGTAAATGTTATCTTTGGCATTATTCTTCAGAACATTCTGTAATACTAAGAGGGTCTAACAGTTTCATTTTTTAAAAAGGGCTGCTGAGTCCTAAGGATGCAAATATGCTACTCCAGTTATATAAGGCAATTGTCTCTACTGGCTTTGAAAAACAATGTATTTTTTTCTGGTTATAGGCGTACCTCACGTTCAACTATTAGCAAATACCAAAGAAGGAATAAAAAGTCATCCATCTACTACCATCCATCCATACTACTACTATGTAAAGGTGAATGTTTGGTGTCAAGTAAAAATATTTTGATAATAAAAATATATATTTAAAATAAACCTGCAATTGTGCTACATACAGTTGAATATTCTGTTTTACTCACCTTACATTATATTATTAGCACTTCCTTACATTATTAAATAAGCTTTAAACATGTGGCTTTAAAATTCTTTTTAATATTCTATCACACGTTTCATAATTGAATCATTCTCCTATTACTGAGTATTCAAGTTTTTTATATTTTTTTATTTCAAATTAATATGAGGGTACAATTTTTTAGGTTACATTGTTCTCAATTCCAAGGCAAAGTCCAAGCTATAGAAGAGCCCTTCACCCAAGGGGCACGCCGGACATCCTCACATTATACACATTAGGTGAGAGCCCGCCAATGGCCCTTCCTCCTCCTGCCAGTCCCTTCCTGGACTATTTAGGTGGACACATAATTATTTATATATTAATATATATAGTTTCATATTAGTATTGAGTACACTGGATTTTTTTTCCATTTTTGAGATTATAATTTTTAATATGATAAATAATGATATGATGGAAGAAGTACATCAATCATTGTTATCTTTCTGATGATTTCTTCAAAATAAATTCTTATAAAATATACTACAACACTGAGAAAATGTAGAATGTTAGAGGGGTCATGTGCGCCAGACTAAGAAATTCAGATTTTACTTAGGTCATATCATTATTTATGACCTCCTTACCACTAACTTAGTCTACAAAAGACAAGGACATTTTTAAGGGTCTGGATTTACAAGAACAAACAATTTGCCTTACAGAAAGTTTAAAATTTTATAAGCAAAAGTCAAATCTTCCTAGCAATAATCATTTAATGAGCATGTCTATTTGTACACACATACATACACACACACATATGCATGCATATATATTTGAGGTTTAGCAATGTATTGACAGAGCTTCATAAAATGAGCAGATTTACTTACAGATAGCCATTAAATAATTCTGAGGGTTTTCTCCAAACTGTTACATCTTTCTAGAAGAATAAAAAACATTATATGGTAATAATTACATAGGTATTCTAGTAATTTAGATCATTCGTCTTTACACTCAAAAACACTGAAGTTCATTTTTGGAGATATATAAAAGCCATCTAGGCCATAAGATGATCTGTATTTGAATTGCTTCTGTATTCTAAAATTCTTTACACTGTACTTAAATTTCAGGCTTCCAAAAAATATTTGTAGCTGCATTTAATGAGACCCAAACACTGGAAGATTCAGTCAGGACACCGTGTACTGACCATTACCCTTTGCATTACTGCAGCCTCTTTTACCACAACTCATGTATTCAGACTATGACATCAGAACAAACATCAAAGATTTTACTGTGATATTGTTCATACCCTTTTAAAAATGAAATAATTCACATTTATTATGACACTGTTACTATGAATTAGTCCCTACATTTTCTCCTGATAGTTTCCAAGTAATTCAGAACAGCTAGAATATCTGAACAGCTAGAGAACTTAAGTAGAGGGAGTCTTGGGTTCTACAATTGACTCTATCAACACTCAGCCGCGAGACAGTTCGAGCAAGTCATCTTGGTAAAAAGGAATACTAACTAGCCACCCTCACAGGCTTGCTGATGTATCTGAAACTATTCCAAACTGTCAATTACTACACTTCCTTAAACTGATAATGACACATTTTATTTGCTGACTCAAGAGGCTATTCTTTAGGCTCTAGTTGCCATGAGCCTATTCTCATGTCCAGGATCTAAAAGAACTAATAAAAGTAGTACAGAATTACTGCTGTGAGGGTTCTTCCTTTGTATGACAGACCACCGACTCTATTAACACAATTATATATCTTCCACATCCATGCAAAGTAGGGTCTCACATCCATACATTTTCATATCATTTTGAAAGTTGCCAAACCAATTAGGCAGAAGATCTACCCCAAATATGAGTAATAAGTATTTGAATTAACTTACTGTTTTCTTGGCAACTCGCCACTTATCATCTTCAGTACTATGGTACTGTATGAGAGTGTTTTTAAGTTTAGTTCCAAAAGAAGTAACATCAGGCAGGGCTTCCATTTTTTCTTTCTGTTATAGAGACCGAGATTACTATTAGCAAATACCACAATTTAATGCAATAGAGCAGTGGGTCACAAATCTGGCTTCATAATATAATCACCTGGGAGAGCTGTAAAATATATATATCTGGACCCTACTCCAGATTAACTAATCAGAATCACCAAGAGTAGAACCTGGGCATAGGTTTGTTTTCTAACAGTTTCCAAGGTGAGTAACCCACAACCAGAGATGAGAATCCCATACTTTACTAAAATCAATAATACAATAAACCAAAATAACAGGAAAGAAGGAGGGGGAAGTGGTTGTAACTCTCTTATCTTTATGCTGCACTATTAAACACATACCTCCAATCCCCATCCTTCCAATGAGCTTCAGAGTTCCAGACCCAGAGCCTACTTAAAGCTTCAAGTTTATGCTGTCATCTCCTGCCTTCCCTGGTTTCTCTCAATTTGCCCCTGTCTTCCTCGTTTTAACAGTTTACTATTAAAATAATAATTGGGCCCAGTTTCTCAAGTATAATAAATGAAATTACCCTTAACAGTTATAAAGAGATTCTTATTTGCACCACCATACTCTACTGGCCAGAGCCTTTAATCCCACTGCTTTTCCTTCTGTCACTCAAACTGACCAATTTCTCACTGACGTGAGTCTTTCCACTTGCTCTTTCTCTGCCTGAACCGCTAGATCTCAAGTCATAGCATGACTAATAACAATTTGTAAAGCAAGTTCCTATTACTTCTTTCATTTTCTTCATAGTACTTATCACTACATGAAAATAATTTGTTTATTTATTGGAGTCCTATTCTGCTCTTTGACCAGCTCATCCCCAACTCACAGTGCAGAAGTCCTGTTCTTATTCACCATTATATCTCCACCACTTGGAACACAGCCTGGCACTCAGAAGACCCTTAGTAATATTGAAGTGTTGTTGCTTCAAAACACTTGGTCTTACTCTGTCCTTTTGATACCAGGGCACCAATTTCCTAACACAATCCTTACTCCTTCCACTCTTCAATAAGAGGCTAAAGAAAAAGAGTTTGAGGGAAAGGTTGCCCATTATAGAACTGTCAAATTTCTAAAAAAGAAATAAAGAAAAATCTAAAAAAAGAAAAAAGAAAAGAAAATCTAAATGAAATCTCAAGCTTCAAATCTCTGTGGGAGTAAGGCTGCAATTGTCAACTACAGACACACACCTCAGGATCCCCTTTGTCACACTTTGCAGTCTAGCTCTTTTTAAATGTTAGATTTCAGAGCCCACTGCCAAATAATGATTCAGTGGGTCTGTTCTGGGATAGGCCCCCCAAATCTAGGTCCTTTAAAAAAGTCTCACTGATCATTCTGTTATCTAGCTGAGGTTGAGAACCACTGATCTCAAAACTAAAGGTGAAATAAAACAGGTTTTCCAGTATTTCAACAGCACTATGTAAAACATATATACCACTAAAATTGATAATTCAATAATATAGCATTTAGGATCTATGATTTAGCATATGTGATATAAAATATATAGGTATAGACCTTAACTGTAGATGGAAAGTGGATGAGCTTGTAGGGTCTCAGAAATGATACCCCCAAAGGAGGGTCTAAGAAGCAGCTGTCTTTGAATTCCTCCTGCCCTCCTGTCTCTGGTCTCTGAGCTAGACATAGAAACTAGAATCCCTCTTTCTCAAGGTGGTTCATAGAAACCAGAAATCCTTTTCCCCAAAGCTAGCCATAAAACCTAAAAATATTATGCTAACCTTTCCCCCACCCCCAGCACTAAACAATAAAGAAATAATCTGACTGACTTTGTTTGGATGTAGGTCATAACCCCCCCCCCCAAACCAGAGGGGGTCCTGCCCTATACCCAGAAGGAATGCTGCAGAGACACCAAGAAGAATCTAACCACACAGGCTTCCTGGGTTTTCCCAGCTCAGTCTATTAGCATTAAATCATACCCATTTGTCCGATCATATTTCTACATGGTTGTCCATACTTCGTTGAACTTGAGCATAGAAATGGACAGTTTTCCCTGCATCTCTGAGTCCTCATTCTGAAGACTCTTGTCACGTAAAACTATGAGCAAAGAAATGTGTATGCCTTTTCTCAGTGATTTTCAGTGACCCTTCAGAGGACAAAGGGGAAGTTTTCTCTTGGCCCCAACAAGCTCATTCAGAAAGCCTACCAGTCAGAAATAAACTCCATTTCCACTCAAGAGACCAGCCAGGTCATTGTACTTGATATCTACTGCAATAGAATCCTAGTTCATGGATATGTCACAAATAAGCACAAGCTCTTGCAGAGGGATTGTAAAAGAAATGTATCTATTACTGGGATCGTTATGATTAAACAATATTCTTTAAACCCAAAGGTCACCGTCCAGGTTCCCGTAGTTGACAGATAAGAGTACTTTTTCAAAACTCTTTGATAGGAATCAAAGATAGGAAAGCTCCTACTATCAAAAGCAAATATTATTTTAGCAAATCTAGCACAGAAGAAAGCTGCCTAGAAAGCTACTTAGAAAGCTAAGATGAGAATCTCTGAGGAGCTTGCCTTAGAAATCATTCCGCCTACTGATCAGTATGAAGTTTAAGCTCCTCAATGCCGCCCTTTTATGATCTGGCTGAGCTTCATTGCCTAATTTCACCTCTTCTTTACTGAACTCCTCTGAAAACTGGGTTAGTTCCTCCTCCAACATTTTCTCACAGCAACTTGGTACTGTGATTATCCACTTGTTACCTTTTCCCATTTAATTAAAAAAATCTTTAAACAAAAGCTTGTTCAATGTTGTGCTCTTTCTGTCTAGCATGCAGTAGAACCCAGAAAATAAAACTGGGAAAAAATGTACAAACAATAAACTACTATTCTCACTTTATGGAAGTCGTGAAGATCTCTAAGGTGAGCCCAACTACACTAATCCCCCTAGAGCTACTGAATAACTGAAATGTCCACAATTTCTCAAGGAGGTCAACTATTAAATATTTACCACCCATCTAGTCTATATGCCAGGTCCTAGAACTATAGAAACTGATAGGACCAGTTTTTGCTCTCAAAGTTGATTTATTCTGCTCTTTAAATAAGCTTTAACAACACCAAAACCTAAAACATTAAAAACTTATATTAATAGCCCTTTAAAGGTAGTAGAGTGGGCAGTAGGAAGAGAACAAAATATAAAATCAGAAAGCTCTCTTTTAGCTCAACAAAGCATTTAACCAGCGGTTAATTCTTATATGGATTTATTTTCACCATGATTAAGTCCAAAATGAACTAATGATTACTGTCAAAACTTCTGTATGGGAACAGGCACAACTGAGCATCTCTCAAAGTATATTCTAGAGCCAAAGGAATGGGGGACAATATTGGGGTTATCAAGGTCTTGTCTCTTTCCTAATACACAGTGTAACAGGGCACTCAGATTAATGGAAAGGATAACACACAATTTGCCTTTCTGCAATCTCCCAACTGTGGAGAATGTCAGAAAAATGTTTTAAATGCCATTCTGAACTCCCTCTTCCTAATTCAATCTTTTACTTCCTTCCTTGTATCAGGAAATTCACCAACTGTAACACAGTAGAGAGCAGCACCACTTAACCTTATCTATCAGCTCCATATAAAAGATTACATACTCTTGTAAGTCCTACAGCCAAGTACTAACGTCCATCTTCACAGTTTTCCCTTACTTTAACCGTTTTGTTCATGTTTTCTATGTCCATATTTTTTAGATGATGGCTAGTAGTAACAGTAGTTGCCATTATAGAGCGGGCAAGTTAAAATTTTCTTGAGGCCATCTACCAGCACCCTAGTCATGACCAGTTCAACTCTGGCCTCAATACACGTCACAGTGAAATGGCCCTGTGTTCTATTTTTAAATATGGAACCAAATTAAACATTTTACCTATAATAAAAATTGAATACCATAAAAATCTATACTTCCGGAGCATGACTAAATCAAAATTCACTTGTTAAAATGCTCAAGAATGGAACTCTTTCACCTGCCATTGCTGGATTAATATAGTTTGCACCTATGTAAATAGCTTCAGTTTGACATGACATAGACTTTTCCCAAAATGTTATGCAAACCAAGGCCTTGTAATTTAAATTTTCTATCATAAATTTCAGTATATGCTTGATTTCTAATCAATCCTAAACTGCTAATTTAATTTTTTTAACCCAGTCAACTACAGTAGTTTCTCGTTTTTTGAGACTGGCCATTGAAGGAGGTACCAAGAGGTCCAACTGTAGCCCAGGCTGGCCATGACTGCTTATCTGTGGTGACTAATATAATGAAAATTATGCACAGACCTTTTGTTGTTGTTGTTCATGGGCTTTCGTTAGTGTTTGTGTATTTAATGTGTGGCCCAAGACAACACATAGATAAGCATTCATAGCTGATTGCAACATGGATTGTACTTCGGCACGGAGAATAATGATCCTGTTTCAAGGACTCACTTTGCCTGTCAGCTTTACAATGAATGTTGAGACTTTTTACAGCACTTCAGCAACATTTCAATTCTAATGATATCACAGCTTGAATTCTGAGTCCAAGTGTTCAAACTCCTAATGCCCTAATACTTTATTTAAAAAATAATAACGCTGACTGATCACTCACTCTGTGGTCAGTCTGTCCGGATGCTGCCCATTGTATCACTTCATATAATCCTCCTAACAACCTTAGGAGTCAATCCTGCCACTATCTCTATTTTAAAGAAAGGGAAAACAGTAAAAGGGAGGTTAAAGGCACGTGTCCAAAATCACACAGCTAATCATCGATGAAGCCAGAATTCCAACCCAGTACGTTTGACTGCAGAGTCTAAATAAAGATCTATCTTGCCCAACTCAAGGAAAGCTGATAAAAGGCTGGAAGAAACTTTACATTTAAAAAAAAAAAAAAAAAAAACCTGACCACCACTTTAAATTTGTCATATTTTGTCCTGGCTCCTGAACTAAAAATCTCAGGTAATGTTTCTTGAGTGCAGATTAAGGATAATAGTGATGCTAATTTACTGAGAAAGTATAAGATTTAATACATTCGGCGCAGAACTTAGAAGATAATAAGCACTCGGAAAAGTTTGTCTCCTGTCATCAGCAGCAGAGCACGGTGTGAGCGGATGGACCTCGCCGTTGTCTGTGCTTCCACCAAGAAGCAGGATGTGCCCTTCACCGAATACACCGCGCCCTACACCACGCAAGGAGCGGATCATCGCTGCCCCGCCTCCATTTAGCAGATGAAGAAACTGCGGCGTCCAAGTACTAACGTTGCGAGGGGGTAGGGAGGCGCAGTGCAAGCCCTGGCATCCTGCGGGACCTCAGTTTTCTTTCCGCCGCCCGGACGCCGGGATCCGCCGTCCCCAACCTCCGCCGCGGGCCCCCCTCACCCCCCGCTGGGAAGACGCACCTGGCAGGCTCCCCGCACCCCCCAGTCACCCGGGCCGCCGCACTCTCGCCGCGGCTCGGTCGCTTGCCCCCTCCTATACCTGAGATGAAGCAAGAACCTGGAAGTCGGTCTAGCGCGCCAGGAGAGAATCCCACTCTCAACAACACGGCTTTCCCCAACACCGCCGGCCTAAGCAGCAGCCAATGAGCGCCAAGTCACTGCTGGTCGCAGCCAATTGGAAAGCATCAAACTGTTTCGAGCCGGCAACCCTGTCCCCTAGCCCGGAACCCGGCGCGCCGCGGAGGTGGCCGGAGCAACGTGTGTTTGCTCGGATTGGCTGGCGCCACAGCGTGTGGAGAGCTGATTGGTCGCCGGGATATGGACCGATTTCGCGTGCGTGTGGGCTGGCGGGAGACCCGCTAGGGTTACCTGGGTGTGTGGAGTTAACCTGTGGACTTGAATTGGTGGCGGTGGGTGTCCCGTGGCCAGTTAGTGATGAAGAAAGTTTGCGAGGCAGTAAGCTGACTCTGAAGTAGGAACACAAAGCGAAGTGAAGGATGACGGGGAGGGATAAGGCTGATTCAAATTCTTGACTGAGAATCACGCAGCTATGACTTTCCCAGAACCAAAGTCAAGTAAGAAAAGGCGTCCGTGCCCAGCATGACTAACCGGCCCTTCAGCCTCTTGCTTAGTCTGATCTGGGGTTGATGGTTCTGGGAAGTAAAAGGCATCTACACAAACTCACTGCCACAGTGTGAATTAGCCTTTGGCCAAACCTCCCCCACCCCCGCCATGATCCTGAGATAAGAGTTCAGAGGACTTTACAAGTAGGGAAAAGGAGAGGTGTGACAGGTGGATTTAGCCAGCGCACAGTGTCTGGGTTTCCATCTACTTGATGAGCAACACTTTTTCCAGTGTCTGCGAAGTCATCCATCTGATGTGATGTTTGGCGTGCGCTGAATTTATTGCTTTGCGAGAGTAGCTGGGATGCACTGGTTAACCATACTTGGGTTGTCTGCAAATTATATTGTATAGTTTGAGAACCAAGAGTTGGGAGGTATACAGTGTTCCACCATTAGTCATTTTTGATAGACCTCCAATGAAAATAAATAATACTCCATAAATCTTTAAACTGACCTCACTAAAAGAACCTCCAAATACCACTGGCTGATTATTATTGGCTGATTTTTTAACTTATTTCTTTGTTTATATATAAAATGAATAATTTGTTTTAAACATCCACATACTATAATAATGGAAAAGTTCGTGTGTTGTAAAGCAACATTTACTTGCTAGTTATATTGGCCAGTTATTGAGCTTTCTTGTCTAGATGAATGGATGGATAGATGGATAGATAGTCTGAGATGATTGAAGAAAAGTATTTTGTGTTAAGTTTTACATACTGTATATTTTGTTTAATCCTCTGAACATGCCTCTGTGGTAAGTGTGTTTTACAGGTGGGAAGCACAGACACAGATGTTAAAACAGGTTACTTAATTACTGAGTGGCTGAGCTGGAAATTAGTCGAAGTCTGCTGGACTGTAAAACTTGGTCGCTTTATCCCCACAAAATTCTTACTGCGCTTCATAGCTGTTTGTCAGGTACTTGTGCAAGCTTCGGAGACCTGAAATGAAAGACTTAATCCCTTCCTTGAAGGTTTACACAGCTTAATGGTGAACAGGAGCAAGTCCTTGCATCTAATTCAGAAAAATAAAACTTGTATCTCTCATGATTAGGATTCAGCTCTGGGTACATCGCTCTGCAGCTCTGCATATTCTCGTAGGGAACTCTCTGTAACATCTACAGTTATGTAACAACATTGACTGGACTTTTTCCTTTTTCTTTCTGGTTGTTTTATTTTGTTTGGACAGGGGTCATTACATCACACGTATACCTGAAGTGATTTCCCGTCTTCTGCAGTATCTTTTTCTTTTGTTCTTCACCTGCTGCCCTGTTTTTCTTGGTTACAATGAAGTTGAGTCGATTGAAAACCACCCTATCTCTATCGAAATAGAATGCTACCAGTACCAAAACTACACGTTCAGGGAAAAAAGAAAATATTAACATCATTTGGAGGTGTTATTGAGGGCTTACTAGGGTCCAAGAACAGTGTTAAGCATTTTACATGGGTTAACATTTAATCCTAATACCAGTGCCTGATAGGCATAAACTATTCTTATTATTATTTTCATTGTTACAAGTGAAAGAACTGTAGTATGTAGGACAGCAGACTCCTTTCTAAATAGTTTGAAACTTAAAAAATAAGGTTTCCATTTGGAGTTCAAAAGAGTATAAAAGAGGCGTATAATGGATTTGATGAACTATATGGAAAGTTACCCTAACAAGATAAGCAACTTCCCTGCCAAACCTTGACTATAATCTGAATAAAGTTACATATCTAAATGAGTAATTTCCAAGAAGAAATGAAAAACAATCTAAAATGCAGAAATGATATATCCACAATTTCTAACCAGGGAGCAATAAATCTAGAAGTACACAAAATAAAAATACAGATTTGTAAATATCCCAGATGACTTCCAGTTTTAAAAATAGAATCTCTCTACCAAACTCTTAGGTTATAGAGAAATTAAACATGATATACTGAAGAATATTAATAAAAATATTTTAAAACATGAATAAAATAAGTTAATATAAATTAAAACCCTTCTTAGAGAATTTAAACTCAGGAAAACTCCTGACCTTAATTCAATTCAACAAATATTTATTAAATGCCTACTACTTGTATCAAGGACTGAGGGAATATTGTATCTTACCTGACAAATAATACTTATTTGCAAATAACAGAAACCCAACCTGGATTAAGCAAAATAAATTAGGAAAAATATAAAAATATCTTATAAAATTTTGTTCCCTAAGTGTGGACCACAGACCAGAAGCATGGGCATCACCTGGGAGGTTATTAGAAATGCAAAATCTCTCGGGCAGTAATCGAAAGTAAAAATATGTGGAAACTGAAAATAAAACTGGAGCAGCACAGGCACAGTGGAGAGAGAGCAAAAGCAACTTACACAGTTTCGGGGTAACAGATTTTATTCAGGAAGAGCAAAGGGAGTTTAAGTGGGTCCCTCTCATAAAGGAGAAAGGTGAGAGAGACAAGGCACAAAGGCCTTCAGGGGTATAAATACTCTCTCCATTTGAAATTGGCTGCAAGTTTTTCATTGGCCTCTCTGTGTCTCCAGGCAGTGTTACCTTTTTCTATTGGTCATTGATCATCTCTTTCTATTGGTCATTGGTTGCCTAGGAAACCAAAGAACGTGTCACACCCACATTCTTGTGGACCCTCCCGACTTCCTACTTCAGCAGGCCAGGTTTTCATCCCCACTCCCCACCTTGAAACCCTCTTTTTGCTCTCTCATCTCCTTTTGCCTTCTTTCTCTCTCTGTGCCATCTTCTCCCTCACTCTTCTCTACTCTCTCTCTCCTCTCTTCCCCACTCTCTCCTTATCTCTCTTCCCTCT